CATAAGCGCACTTAACTGTGTCAAGTTCAAAATCCTCCTGTGGGGGGACTGGGACGAGTTCGGCGAACGCACACCGAACATCTTTCAAGCCAAGTGGCATCAGAATTGGTGGCAATACTAGGCTGCTCCCAAAGATCTTTCCAGTAGCTACCGACTTCTGTGATGTTCTCAAAAATTCCCTGCTGTTCTTCACTCCTCTCACCAGTTGACTTCATGTATCTTGGCTTGTTATTTTCTGGATCGCTTTTTATGATCTCATTGAAGCGATCATAAACGCTGCCTGGATCTACATAGAATTTGCTGTTCAATGATCTTATTTCCTCTTGTTTCTGCTTCCGAATGAATCCTCCCTTCGCTTTCCTAAGGTCTGATTTTTTCCGCTCTATGTATGCCACTAGACTGGCCGCTGACACTTTACCACATTCCCTCTCCAACATCGCTTTTCTGTTTCTCTTCCCTCTTTTTGTGATCCCTATTCAAGCTATTCGAGAGTGAGCAAAATTCGCTGAATCTGTCGGAGACAGCTCAATACACGTCCTCTCTACTCTGCCGCCATTATTATTCTTCCGGCTTTACTATTATTATGATTATTATTATTATGATTATTATGAAATTTCTCCACCGCATGTCCCTGGTGGATCGTCGCCTTAACGATGTGTTGGAAGTGAGGGAGATCTCTCTTCATATTATTCTCATGTAAGAATTTCAATTTCAATCTTAATCAGGAAAATTTCCCTGACGAAGGATGTCATGGAGGAGACTCCTCTGGAAGATTTCCAACTCGTAGGTGTGTATAACGCATTGTTGAAATGATAGTCAAGTAAGCAAGAAAGAGGTGAAGATCGATGAAGGCTTGGTGAAAAGATGTTTTTTTTTGGTTTATATTTCGATTGTCTCTACTCCAATGTGGTTTGTTCTTATAATCGCTTCTATGGCAAACTAGAGCAGCCATAGATAACCTTCCATTTGATTTAAACACTTTTCATGTCTGTGTTATTTTGTATTTAAAGTGATCTAGGGTCGGATTGAGGATACCTCTTCGAAGAGACCTGGACTGGAATTTCAGAGCGGAGAATGCTGGATAGATGGAAGCTATACATAAACGCTTTACTGAATGGCCAGTATGAGACGATCGTTCCGGTGAAAATCAATGTCTATTGTCCAAGTTGTAGTTTCAGTTACTGCTGGCTGCCCCCTGCCAAGAGTTATTTATCATGAAGAATTCAAAGATAGCACATAAAACTCCATCTTTCGTCAGACTCAAATAAACTGCCAAACATCTTTTCTTGCGGAGGGATGTGTAATTCAGAGGGGGAAAAAAAAAGGAAACGACCTTTAACGTAGCGTTTCACTAGACCACGGAAGCCTCTTTCCATTGGTATTAAATAATTCCCTGAATATCGAACGACTGTGGAATAAACTGAGATTGAATTTTAAGCGCTTTCGTGCACCGTAAAAAAAAGATAGTCATGAATAAAAAGATATTTATAAAAATAGCAATGGTGGTAAACACGAGAAATATAACGTGTAAAGCCTCTTTACCTTTATTCCATACCCGCCTTATCTCTCCCAGCTGCTTTTAGTGCTATTTTGTCGACTTTTTTTTGTACTGGGTGTTGTTCACCATAAAAATAGGAAAGGCGGGTTAACCGAACCGGTCCCAAGCACCAACCGTCGTGACTAGAAGGCCAATGCCGCAAAATTCACAACCCGTTCCAGTAGCAACAGTATCAAAATTCCATTACATCAGCCCGAGAGGTGCATCATGTTTTCATCCATTCTGGCCTAAGCATCTAAGTTTGGTGACTACCTCTGATCAAATAAATTATAATCTCCTTGGAGAGGGTTGTCATTGGGGTCCCATTGCAAAACGACACCGTGCGGGAGGGTCGGTGCGTGTGATTCGACCGGAAACAATGCGCACGTCTGTCAACTGAAACGTGTTGAAAATGGAAACCCGCGAAAAGTTGTGACAAGATCGTTCTATTCATGTGAGGTCGGTTATATGTGATTTCATCTTAGTTTGAGTGTTTGAGTCTGTGACCAATATAGTTCCAAATTAGTATTTCTTTGGATTTTTGTATCTGTTTCGTAAAACATTGGAAAACGTTGCACTTCTGATGGATACAGCGTCGTCGTGATGATGGCGAACTTCACTAAAGAACAAGCTGAAGTAGTTAATTTCGCTGCATTGTCCTTATTGATGGAGGGCTTATCACTGGGCAAGTCGGCACAAGCAAATCTTGGGTGGTGAGTGCAACCTGAGAGGATTGCAAGCAGAGAGGACGAAACATGGCATTGGTATGTTCCAGTGGTATTCCATCATGGGTTTATGGACCAGCCGTCGCTGCATCTGCCAATTCGCATCATGGTCTCAGACATGCCATTAGACCATCATATAGTGATACGAGAGTGTATAGTGAAGCAAGCAAGCGAAGGAAGCAAGCAAGCGAGGAAGGTAACCTGCCGTTTGGCGGGAAGCAGTTGATAAACGATAAACACGTCTTCACATGTACCTCGTCAATTTTAGCTGAAAGAAATTGTTGCGGCATTCGTAAAGTACCATGCATTTCCTTAACGCTCAGTCTGGAGTTAGACTGTATTTCCTCAGAAGAAATTATATTGTTGAGAGCATCTTCATCTAGAAACTTAGAGGCAAAGCTCAATACCACTGCAACATATGTTTTATCTTCAAAAAATGCGGTTGTCTTGTTTCATCGTTCGCGCATAAAAGAACTGGATGGCAACTTGACTCGATTTGATGCGGTTTCCGAAGGGAAGGAAGAAAGGATAAAGAGTCCGGGAGACAAGTCGTTGGTTTTAAAGAACACATCCCAATTCATACTTGTGTGGAACAAGTCCAACGAGCTAAAGAACGGTAGTTTGGTAACGTTAAAGAAAGTATTGAATGACAAGCTTTCCATTGACTTCCATGAGGACCATGAGGTCGATAGCATGTTCATTGGTAGGGTTATTTGGAATCAACAAAATTGGCAAGGTTAGAACATTAGGAGCGTCATTCAATCTCCTGTGATTTCGGCGCCTGTTGTGACTTGCCACAAGTCGCAAGACTTAGGACTTTCAGCGGTCGTCCTGCACTCCGCCAGAGAGTTTGTCTTTGGATTAGTCGAGTAAGTGTCTCAAGAGTCCCTCCAGGTCATTGACCTCAAAGGTCCTCAGATCTCACAGTAAAGCTCAAAGTAGTAAAGAGACTGGAAACTTGCACCTAACCCTAGGTTGTTGCCAAAAATGCTTCATTGCTGAGGAGAGTTCCTCTGGGGTTCATAACTTTAAAACATTGTAGACAAGGAGGGAGATGTTGACAAAGATTTTTACAATTTCCTAATAGAGGTGCCGGATGGAATAGTACAGGCTTACCTTGAGAGCAAGGACGCAGAAGATATCAACTCTGTCCGCGGGTTTCCCTGATTTTGAAGGCCTTTTGAAGGAACTAAAAATGCTCCGAAATCAGTCTGATGGTTAACCAGGCAGTGGACACTCGAACAGCGCTCTTTTTTCAGAGAATATGTAAACCATTGATTTGATTTTTGGTTTTTGAAAATCGCTTTAAAAATGGTAAGACGCCGATGACCTCACCATCAAAGTTACACGGGACGAATCTCAAAACTGTCACGGCTAAACAACACGAATTGTTTTCTTTGCCCTACTTTCCTTTAATTAAGGTACCTCTCAAACACTTCCACCTGCACTGCACCTCCTTAAAGAGGCAACTCGGTTCCAGGAGGAACAATTAATAGCTCTTCTCTGACGAAACCACGCTTTTGTCCATCTTTCAGATAGTAGAGTACAGACTCGCCTTTATTCAAATTGGTTTTTCGATATTGAAGACCTTCAGAGACTAGATTGGATCTGTGGCTCGCCTCTGACCACCTTCCAGTTCATTAGCGGTCTAGAGATGTCTCGCATTCTTTGAGGAGTTGAGTCGTTTAAGTCATTGAACTCTTTGCATCTATCGACTTGTCTTTGATTCATCAATCGGGCTGCCTTCCAGTCAATCTTGTCTCTTCGCTCATCAAGGCTGAAACAACTTCTCGAAGCCTCCTCACCCATTGGGTAGATCTCTTTCCCTCTTTGAGGTTCATCTTCTAACTTCATTGGAAAGTGAAGAGATTCTCACCCAAAGTCCCTAATCCTTGTGAACGTTCACATTCCCTCTTCTTATCCTAGCACTGTGCTTTGTCATCTCTCTTGTGACATCACCTATGAATTCACGCCCAGAATCAACTTCAAGAACTTTTGGCCATCTTAATGGTCCTCGCTTAAAGATTGTCTGAAAAGTCTTTGAGACCTCAGAGGAGTCCTCTAAAGTGAGAGGTTCGGCAGCCTTGAATCTGCTTGCAACATCAACAACTGTCAATGTGTACTTATGGACTTTCTTACCTCTCTGGAGCCTGTCACGAGGAAGGAAAAGAAGACCAGTTTGATGAACTGCATTTGGAGATTCAATGTCAAAAGTTGTTCTCGAGATATGCTTCGGGGCAGACAAATAATTCTGCCAGATGGCTTGCCTCATCAACCAAAGCTTTGCAACGTTCTCAGACACTTCAGCTTCTTGAGCCAACTTCTTCACAGCGGGCAATCCCTTCCAAAAGCCCTTTGGGCTATCGTAGATTCTTGAAAGTTTTATTTCCATTGTACGGCTTCAAAGCATAATCCGTATCAACAAAACTCTGTTTTGCCCGCTCCTTGACTTTGTCACTAGTTGCAACCCAATTGAGAAGCTTTGTTCGATTTTCTTGATACTTTTCATAGGCCACTTGGTACTTCTCCACAGCGAGACCATGCCTCTTTTTCTCTTCTTCAGCACTATTCTGGGCTCCACTCAAATACTTTGCGAAATAGCTTCCGCCAACAAAGGCGGTCGCATTGATGAGCGCTCCTCTGATCATTATTGCTATGCTTGCTTTATTTACCTGCAACTATGTTTCTCACACCCTCCAGATCTTCAACATTAGGGACCTTCAGCAAACCACGACGGCAACGGCAACGAGGGCGCGGCAAAACAAAAGACTACAACTACGCCAGACTCGAGAGTTACGTTCCATTTTACTTTCAGTTTTAATTTATTTTTTCTTTTATTTTTTATTAAATCTTTGAAAAATTGTAAAATTTTGAGTGGCAGCTCTCGGCCACCATAGTTGTGTCCATTTACTCAAGTTGTGAAGTTGTTTTGATCTTGAGTGATTTAGAAGGTTTTTTTAGTATTTTGATGTCAGATTTCGGAGAGGCCTTGTGAGAAAATAATGCTGATCTTAAAGAGGCTTTGCTGAAATATGTCGGGCAAGGATAACAAAGATGAGAGATGTTAGATTTCCTCACTCGTGACTTTCCGCTTTACGCGTGGAGTGTAAGGATGCTTGATAGAAGGCTTCGTCATTTTGACATTTTTTTCAATGATGGTGCTATTAAAGTAGATCATGTTATGAAGGCATTTGAAACTGAGCCAAACGGGCCTAGAAAGCTATTGGGATACCACGCAACTCACAAAAAAAAATAAGGCAATAGTAATTCAAGTAGTTCCGGACGGAATACCGGACCACATTTAGAACTTTCCAGAGCAATATGAACTTGAAGACTGTGTTAGGCGGTATACCCATGTTTATGTGAAAAAAAAAAAAAAAAAGAAAAAAAAAGGTGTCTGGATGACCCTTAATTGGAAGTGGAGGGGGAATGAACAGAAAAAGAGGGGCATGCAATGGCACTGAGATAAACAAAAAAATTCCCGTTGGTCTGAACCTATGAGACATTAACCCATTGACACCTACTTGTAACGTGTTCCTATCCAAAAGTTAAAATTTTGGAGAAACCGGAAAAGAAAACACAATGCGCGGTAAATTAGACTTTCGTTTTGATTTGATTTTGAGTTTATTTTTTATTTCGACGTGAATTGCCCTTGGATTTCAGTTTAATTTTGAAATGATTTTTACTTTGATAATGCAATTACTTTTGCCTTTAAATTTGCTTGCTATTTCATTTTACTTTCAATCATTCTTTTTCCTTTGTTTTGCAGTCACGTTCCATTTTACTTTCAGTTTTAATTTATTTTTTCTTTTATTTTTTATTAAATCTTTGAAAAATTGTAAAATTTTGAGTGGCAGTTCTCGGCCACCATAGTCCTCCAATAGATCATAAGTGAGAACCAATCAGAATGCGTACATAACTGAGCTTGATCATATAAACTCTCATAGAGCACGCTCTTTCAACCAATGACAACACGCATTATATCTGAACTTAATTATAATACAATTTTATCACAATGTCATGCGTGTCACGCGGGAAAACTATAATGTGGAATAGGGCAAGTAAATCAAATCTCTCTTTCGTTGCTTTGGCTGGTTGTTGTTTTCGTTTTTAGAATTATGCGTTGAAAGTAGAAGGAACAGCACATTTTGCTTCAGGTTGTGTGGAATACATACGTTGGAGTGAATCAGGCAGCGGAGATAAAATGGTGCCTCGTCTCGCACTGGCTATCCTAAGGCGAGACAGCTTGAATGAGACAATTTGTAGTGGCTGTTCGATTCCGTTCGAGGAATGATTGTGTGGAAATATTCACCGGTCAAGTGTTTCACTCCTTAAAGATATGACGAGGTAAGGGAACAGAGATTTAAGCCCTTCACTGACACTGAATTGAGCTGACTTTCGATTTGATATTTGATATTTCACAAATATAGAATGCTGTGACTCAATGCTGGGTTGCCGGGCACGTTGTCAAACAGACTAAATACAGCATCTCACCGAATGGTTCTTTCAAACTTATCAGTGAACTTCAAATCTTGATTTGGAAATGTGAAGCGATTCCAAAAATTAACGTGGTCTTTTAGTGGACAAATTTTCCGAGTTTGTGCATACTAATAACCATGATATCGCTTGGTTGTCTACACTTAGAAATTGTACGCTTCTGATTAGACTGTTGGGCTCGGTCTCGAGTAGACTTAAGTCCAGTTCAAACGTCGCACTTCTCATGTGCCGAATCTAATAGTTATTTGGGTAGACCCAAATTAATTAAATTCGACGTTGGTTTCAGATGTCGAGTCAAATATTTCGAATTTAATTTCTCTACTATAAAATGTGAAATAATCCTCGTCTCAAGGTCTTTTCGTTAAACATGGCGGACAACTACTGAACATTTACAAGAATAAGTGTGTTTAAAATGCCTAGTGGAATGCAAAGGCATCACTTTTTTTTGCTACAAACGTCAACCACATCCTCCTAAAAAGGAGGTGCATTTTAAGCGTTTGTCTGCTTTTGCTGATTTCCTTGATGTAACAAAACCGAGAACTGCAAAACGTCATTACTCCTTTCTGCTCCTGTCGTCGATTGACAAGGAACACTGGGTGGTAGGAGACTGTCTGGCGTAAGTACTCGGATGCAAGGTTTGAAAAGATGCTATGGGTAACAGGGGCTACATTTCTATATATTTTGAGTTGTATAAGACATTAGCTGGAAAGAGAGATAGTGACTGAGGAGCCTTTGTCCCCTGAATTTAGACTTACTGTGTGTTTATATAGGTAAGGTAGGGGTGACCATTAATACACCATTGTGGAAATGTCAGGAGTTGGAGTTTCCACTGTGTGTACTATAGTGTAAGAGGTTTCACAGGTTGACTGTTTGTGGAACAAAACTGTATTGCAGCACATGTCAGAGTCTGAGGCAGATTTTAAAAACAAAACACTTGATATGGAAGAGTTTTGGCAGTTTTTGTGTTATTGGGAAGCCATAGATGGCTGCCACATTCTGATGAAGTACCCCCCAGGTGGGCTTGAGCCTTACAAAGAAGATCATAACTTTATAATATTTAAGTCTACAAATCTATGGACAAGAATCCAAGAAGGTTACATTCCAAAGATGGGGAAAACCATTGATGATGTCACTGTACCATCACTAATTATTGGTGGTTCAGCATTTCCCTTGTGCCAGTTGCTCATGAAGCCATTTACAAATGCCATGCTATATCCACAGCAGAACTACTCTAATTATAGGCTAAGTCTAGCAGGCATGGTCACTGAGGGGGCTTATGGTTAGTTAGAAGGACGATGGCATGTATTATTAAGAAAGTGTGAAAGTTCAACTGATCAGGTCCACACAGCAACTCTTGCATGTATTGTTATATATAATGTGTGCATAGAGCGCGGAGACACTATACCAAACAAGCTTGATTTGACCAATAACCCAAATATGCAAGAAAGAAGACTTGTCTCAATAGGAAAAAACATTTTTGTGCTTTTGCCAGTGTCTGTCTCAGCCTGATCTGTTTCCTGCCCTGTAGAGGAAGTGGTATCATCATGCAAATCCCTATTTGAACATGAGTGTTCAGCTGCACGCTCTGGTTGGCATGAATCCCTGGTTTTCACTACAGGGAAAAGCTGATAAAATGAGTCTCCAAATTCTCTTTCATCCTGAAAGCATTTGATTCCAGTGGACATTTTAATAGTGAATGGTGCCTGTTAACATAGGCTGGTACATTTTTTAATTTTGTTCTGAGTTGGTTTACTGAAGGTAGTAGAACTCTTCTGAGCTATTGTCAATGTCTTCCTCACACATCTTTTGGAAGAAGTTGTAGATTAACTGTCCAAAATGCCACAAGAATTTGTTACTGTTGCTGCATAATTGGAAATGTACATGGCAGTAGGCAACTGACATTCTCATGACCCAGCCTGGGCAATCCTCATCACCTTCAAAAACAGAGCAGTTGTTGCAGAAAGGATAATGGCACCTTAGGCAACAGTATTTTGTCACCTTGAAACAAGAAGAGCACTTATCCAAGTCCTCTGCAGCCACCATTTTCCGAGAACAGTGAGAACAGCGCAAAAACTACAAATGGCAAATAGCTCAGTGTTGAATTGTGGGTAGAAAATATATTAAACAAACTTATGCAAACTTGTCATTTTATACAACTTGCCTTGGCAAATTTAATTGCCTGTCAAACTTAATTCAATTTGTCTAATTTAATTGAGTCAAACATTGAACTTCTCCTGTGCTAAATTTAACTATTTGATTCAGCACACAAGATGTTTGCTGTTTGAATGGAGCCTAAATGCCTGGCAGTGAGAAATTTTCATCAAAAATGTGCTCTATCAGAGTACAAAGGTTCCTTGAAACTTCTAGAGTATGATGTTTTTCTATAGAAATGTCAAGGGATTAAAAAAATTAACTTGGTTTTTTTAGTGGACAAATTTTCTGAGCTTGTGCAACCCCTAACCCTTTAAACCCTACAGGTGATCAGCATCTAATTTCTCCTTTCAGTAATACCGCATTCACTATATCCATGAGAATAAAGGAAATGATTGCCAACCTCAGAGCCTTTAATTGTTAAACAAATTCTCCTTGTCAGTATCAAAGGAAATGTATAGTGAAGAGTATGGTGAATATGGATGCTGATGTGAGGGTGCAAAGGGTTAACATAATAGAGTATATTTTAAGTATACACCATATATACATGTGATATACTACATCATGTATACTTTATGTATACTTATTGTAGAGCTTTAGTATGTGCAAAAAGTATACTTTTTGTATTAGTAATTTGGAACTGCTTGAAGTATACTATTAGTATAGCACATGGAGAAACAGTATACTAATAGTATACACCCAATACACTCCAAGGAAGCATACTTCTTTTATAGATATACAAAAAGTATTCTTGTAAATTTTTTTTTTCTCACCTTGTGCACACAAAGTATACTTTTTGTATTCATTGTGGTAAGAAACATTTTAGTTTACAAAACACCCTTGAAATAGTACAGCAAAATTATAGAAACCTGCAGGACCATTCATGACAAGACCAATTGTTTCACTGTTAAATACATTTTATTTCAGCTTAGAAAACACCCTCAAAAGAGTAAATTAACATGCTGAATTCGATGAAGTGCCATTTCCATCAAAATTCAGCCCTTTTGTTTTTTTGTAAATGGTGCTTGCATTTTTGTAAATGATGCTTACATTTCTGTACATGCAGCCTTCGTTTTTTTTATATGGTGCCTCGATTTTATAAATGGTGCCTATAATATTGTAAATGCTGCCTGTTTTTTAAAATGGTGACAGTTGTTTTCATAAATGGTGCCTACCGTTTTGTAAATGCTGCCCCTATTTTATATCATTTGGGGTTATTTTGGCCTAAATGGTGCTAAGAATCTTCTGAAATGATGCCTTTACTTTTGTAAATGCTGGCTTGAGTCAATTTTTGTAAATGGTACTCTTTAAAAAATATGGTGCAGCAGTTTGGGGACTAACCCAGCCCTGTTTACAGAGCGAAACCTGGTAAGTAGTCATTTGCTGCATTCCTCTCACTCTTCCATTAAGCGGACAACCTTGTGAATGCAGTGAGGATGCTGTCAATGGCCATTAAATTAAAAATTGAAAATATCTGTTGTAGTTTTCCAAACCTCGTTGAAAAGATGGATGCCGATGAAGCACTAGAGAACATAGATCAAATCTTTAAGGCTGTTAATTGTTTGGATTCTCTGTTGAGATTGCCAGATGATGTCTATTGAAACATTTCCTCAGCAAGACACATTCTGGAAAACTTAACGAACGTCAGTGAGAACTCTTAGAGTCAACACTAGTATTTGAGGTCACCCATCATATGACATTATGCAAGATCAACTACAGTCACTGATTGGCCAGAGGTTCACAGTGCCACAAATTGCCGAGTTACTGCAGGTATCAACGAGAACCATTGAAGCTACCTCACTCAATATAATATGTTGGCTAGGTCATTGAGCATCATTGCAGATGAAGAATTAGACAGTGAAATTAGAACCATTAAGACCTTTCATCCCAACCGTGGATCAAAGAATTTGGCTGGGTATATTGCATCTCGTAATGTAAGGATAACCAGGCAACTACTGAGACAGTCCTTGCAAAGAGGCAAGCTAGTGGGCATAGCTGAGCGCAGATGTAGAGCTATTAATTGGCGTGTTTATTTGGTATCTTGTCTGCTAGCCTTATGGCATTTAGATGGTAGTCAAAAACTTATCAGATGGCGCTTTGTGGTTCACAGTTGCATCAACGGATTCAGCAGAATTCTAGTCTATCTCTCATGTAACACAAATAACAAAGCATCAACAGTGTAAAGTTGCTTTCAAGATGTAGTAGCTCAGTGGGGACTACCCTCACGTATTCAGAGTGATTGAGGAGGTGAGAATATTGATGTAGTACAATACATGATTCACAGACAAAGAACTGGTGTATATAACCAACTAGTGTATATAACCAAGGGATAGAGCATCTGTGGAGAGATGTGTACAGTGATGTTCTGGAACTTATCAAGAGTCTCTTTACAGTCATGGAAGACATGGGAGAATTCTTGATTCAATCAGTGAAAGTGATTTATGGTGTTTACACTTCTGTTTCCCAAAAGTCATTAATGACAAGTTACAGGAGTGGGTGGCTGCTTGGATCAGACACCCCTTAAGTACTGAACACAATCTAACACCCCTGCAGTTATGGGTTCAAGGTAACTTTGAAAATGCTTGTTTTCAGCAGTCAGAAGGGCATGAAATTAATTTTTTTTTCTGATAGCCACTTGGCTCCTAAATTTTTCAAAATGGTGGCCTATTAAAAAAAAATTGGTTGCCATCTTTTAAGACAAACAAAACCTTTTTTTACACTGGTAATTTAGTGTTAACAACTGGGTTGAAAACGTAAATTAGCCACCGTAAAGAGTAAAAAAGCTGACGTTTCGAGCGTTAGCCCTTCGTCTATCGCTCTGATGAAGGGCTAACGCTCGAAACGTCAGCTTTTTTACTCTTTACGGTGGCTAATTTACGTTTTCAACCCAGTTGTTAACACTAAATTACCTGCTATACTCTCCCACCGACGCAGCACCACAGTTTCTTTAGAAACTTACCCCTTCATTCTTTTTTTACACTGTCAGAGTTATAGATAGACCCTCCAAACTTAAGTTTAGAAAAAGATAGTGTGCTACTAAGTGGACATTAGGATGGATGATATACAACCCTCAAGCTCACCTAAATCCAAGATAGTGTCTTGTTATTGATTGATATGCATGTGCTGCGTTTTGGAAGCAAACTTAACGAGGAAGTTTGCCACGGATTTATCTTTGCAAATCTTTTTAATTCACTGTATCTCTATGTAAGGTTATGATGAAGCATTCTAGTTGTTTGGCGACTAATTTTCAGGATTTGGTTGTCAATGTGAAAAATTTAGTAGCATTGGCACCAGTATTAGGTGCAATTTCATACCCTAGTCAGTAATGACTATGGTATTGATTGGGAGGGTCCAGTTAGTGTTGACAATGTTTATGAAGACAGCATTGATGTGGCCACCACAGATTGCCTTCTGAATCAAGCTCAACTGAATGATCTACAGAGAATGGTAGATGAAAGAAGTTACACAGTGCCATTGGCTATCCCATGGCTAAATGTCAGATGTTACCTTTTGGTCAAGGACTTTGTAAAAGGTGGTGTCCAAAACAGCACTAAGGTACCATTTAGCTAATGATGACAACAGATATTTCAACACCATGGGGTTTGACCATTTACATATTGTTGCTGTTGTGTCTTTATTCCATTTTCAGGAGGAGCTGGCAAAGATTGTTTCCTGTTTTGAAATGGTGCAGGATTTAAATTGATAATGGTTTATTTATCTAATTAACTGTGAAAAAATCAACCAGATCATTAAACAAATACATACCCTCTTGAGGCAAAACCTTCACTAAAAACATGTTCTAGTTTGCCAGGGAAGAGGCCTAGGTGTTCAAATTAAAAAGTATGTGATACATCCATGCCTTTACTTGAAAGAAACAGTAAAGTGAATAACAAACATTGTACCATGTACATTTACTGAGGACAAAGAAAAAAAGATCAGGTACTAAGTAACTATAGCTAATGACAAATATAAAAACTGAAATCTGAACTAATTTTCTTGTATAGCTTAAGGATAATGTGCTTTTGTACAGCAGAAAGAGAGATGCAACAAGACAGCTGTAACTGGAACATTTCCATAATAAAACCAGCAAAATGCATGTGCTAATACAATCCATGGTCAGTTAGTACCTTTCTTACCATTTTGAAAGTGACTATGTAATCACTGAACAATCAAAGAAGGAAATTGTTTGTTTCATCAAGACAGCCAGCACTAGGACTTGCATTAACATTAACTAAAGAATAAGCAAAATATTGTTCCACAGGAACTGGAAGCAAAGTGAAGAATAACTTTAAAAACGAGATATCAGGCCCTTATAATGCTCATACTTTTCCAAAGCCATTGGCACTCATGAAGAGACTCTTTCATGAGCTCATTGAATTGTTGTGGGTCTTTGAAACCCCTTGGCAAATGCTAGGTTTGGGCACAAGTTAATGAGCAGCGACTGCAGTGCACATTTCCAATAAAGTCATAAAAGTGCACAGAAATCAAATTGTCAAAACCAGTGGAGAAACAGAATCTGCTCCATTGATAAACACAAGGAGGTCCTTGAGTGTTAAACCATCTGCTTCATCCTCTTCAAGGTCCTTGAGAAAGAGCTCAAAGCAGTAAATTATGGAATCCTCACAGCTTCTGTTGTTTGATCCTACTTCAGAACATTTTAACTCTTATAGGGAAGTAAAAGCACTTAAGGTAAGCTTTTCATGGCTGCTGCTCAAAATGGCTTCAAAAACGGATTGATTTGCCATTACCATGTTTCCAAAGTTTCCAATGCTGTTCATTCCTTCCATGAACTGAGCAAATTCTGCATGAACACCGTAGTCAAAGTTCTGCTTCAACAAGCAGTCTACTACTTCTTTCTTGTGAGCTAAATTGACAGTGTATATCTTGGGGTAAC